CAAATGAAATAGATAAGTAATCTAATTTCAATACTAAATCAGCTACAAACTTTGCCAGTATAACTCCCTTGGAAAAGGACGAGAGGAACTCCACAGAAAATGAGCCGTTTGACTTAAGTGGATCTCAGGCAAGTACAGTGCAGAAGCACCAGTAACAATCACAGCAACAGAATCAAAAGAGACAATTAATTCAAAGTTTTATGACTTTAAATAAACTCTTTGCAGATGAATTCCTTGCAGGCTACTTAGCCAGCAGCTACTTATTACTCTGTATGTGGAGCTTCATGTAATGCGAGAGCCTGATCGATTATAGACTGGAATCAATAGCACTGAATATGCCTGCCCGGATGCTAATTCAGTTGTGACTACACACATAGGGCAGCTGTGGCTCAGTGGGCAGAGCAGTCATCTCCTGATTAGATGGTTGGTGGTTTGATTCCCAGTCTAACTAACAGCATACCCATCAGTAAGAAATTTCCTCAAAGCAGTTTTATATTTTAAGCAGCAAAAGCCAAACAGATAAAACATGTCTGCTCTTTAACAAGAGTAAACAGTGGGCACTGGTGAACAGTAAACCTCCAGCTGCTGTTTCACCTTCTCAGACGGAGCTGAAATGCATTTTTCACTTAAATCCTGCCGACTTGTTCATTTATGCCTCAGCTTCACTGCCATTTGTCCAAATCACACATTTTCAGCAACACAGACATGTCTTCAAATGGAATAGCTTCAGTTACCAAAGATCAGTTTATGAGGTCTATATCGACTTCAGACCTTTTTTTTTATTGTTATTATTTGGTTCGACTCTGTGGTTTTCAACGATTCGGTTTATCTTTACACCCCTAATAGTCATGTTAATAAATATTTGCAGTTGTGGCTTATATGATTATATTATCACATCCTTATCAGTAAGAACATAAATCAGTCATCCTATATGCTGCAAACAAATACAACATGTTGGTGACAAGCAGGCAAACTTAACATGAACTATCAGTTACCCACAATAATCTCCAAATCAATGCTGGACCCAATTGGACCATTAATATAAGACCATACTCTGACTAGACCAGAATTAAATAATAATTATTTAATAAATAATACATTAAATATACAATATACATTAGATTATATATATATATACTTTGGATGTCAGTCTCCCGGTTTCTCTGTTCATGCTTTTAAAGAGCATGAGAGGAGCTCATGGGGTCGGCCATTACTGAAACTCAACATCTGCTGACTCAGTATTTTTCTACCAATGTATTCATCCTCTCTTCCACATTGTTGCAGCTGCAGCTGGTTGCGCCTGGTTTGCCTGTGTCTTTGTTAACACCTGCTACCTCTTTCAGTCCTTGTCCTGTTATCGTGCCTTTACTAGTGGTTGAAGTACTGCATATGAATTTCCACCAGCGACACATGCTTCTGAGTGTAATTTTGACAATGTCTACATTTCATATCAACCTTTTCACATTAGTACAATTTTATCTGCAGGTAAATAACTATTGCTGAAAGAAAATGTTTACATCTTATTTCTATTGTAAACCTACTAATCTGGTCAATTCACAATATAGGACTTGTGATTCTTCTAAAAACAGATATCATGAGTGCATACAGTGTGATATGGCTGAAAAAAAAAACAGGCAATACTGAAAACACCAAGGTATGTTAGTGTAGAGTTGGAGTATTTTGTACTGCAATACTGTACATTTCAAATTTCAAAAATAAGCAGAACCACAGGTGATATAACGACTCAACCGAGTTAAATACCACAACACAAAACGAAACCAAAAACCTTTAGAAATACTGCAGGAGTTTCACACTGCTGTCCTGGCTCAGAGTTCAAACTCCACCTTCAACTCTGTTATTGACTTATCTGCAGTGGCAGCTAGTGACAGTGTGAAAACACACATTCAGTCACAGCTGAGTGACTTCATAAATAGCTGCTTCTGCAGTGTGTGCATATGAACGCGCTCCTTCCAGTGAATTTAGAGAAAAAAATGCCTATTGGTCAGTATCTCCGGAACAGAGAGGACCTAGTCTGTAAATAAGTTATCATCTGGCACATTGTGCGTGAACCATTAAAAGACACCAAAACAGTGGTGTGTTCTTGCCACTGAGTCCCTTTGTGGGAACAGAAATCATGTTTTTCAGATGTCAGCCATCTGTTGGAAACTTTCACTTCTTTTAACAAAAAGAAACTAACTTAGGCTAATGTAGTATGTGTAGGCAAACCGTTATCATAACAGAACTAACGCCTTGCTAACTATGTAAACTGAACTCCTAATGAAACCATATCATCTACTTCAGGAACCCGTAAAAGTTGTGCTAAACATTTTCACTGTATTATTAATTGGACACATGCATATTCTGCTTTCCAAGTGACTGTTAACAGGCTGAGCAAACAGTAGACCTCAGGTGACAGAGCAGCTACTGGCCTGCTGACTGTGCACTCTGTATATGACCAGTCTTTCACAGCCACTACGCCCAACATGCACATGCACATGCGCGCGCACACACACACACATACACTGTGCCAAAACCACAATAATACATGGCAGCTCAAAGTCCACATCTGACTAAGACAGTCATCAAACTGTGAGCATCAAACTCATCACTGCTTGGTAACAAACAGACATACAGTCATTATATTATCACTGCTTAAGATATTGTTGTGTGGATTATAATAATTAAGATATTAAATACTATGCTCTACAAGATATGAAACTACAAAACGTATCTGGAAATAAAAAAAAGAAGCATTTTGTAACCAAGAATCAGAAGTGAACAAAACACTGGCTCTACTAGCCCAAACTCAAACACATGGGTGGACCCGGTATCTAATTGATTGACAGGTGCCTCAACACAGCGTCTAACAACTAATGCCTAGTACTGCTGTTTACATCAGTAATATTAGCGACCAGAGT